CGGAGTGCTGCGCCCAGTACTTCATTTCGGCCATCGTCTGTCGGCGGGGAGGTTTTCAATAGACTTCTTCAAGTTGACACCAGTTCTGACTTCCATGTTCTACTGTGCCTGCTCGGGACGATAAGGGTGGTGTTGTGGGTGCCCAATGAGGAAGCATTGGGCACGGACTCAATTGCAGCCAAAATCTATAAATATGATTACAGAGCCAATTTTTAAAAGATGTCAAGTAGACAACTGTCATTCCTCCATACAAATTTTAAGAAGCCCGTTAGAGCAGCTACAATCGCCGGATGATCTTCCCTTTCAGTTTTGATAACAAAGTCGTCCTTCTGGGTGCTGATCAATTGCTTGAAGTTACACATTGAGCGGTGGTTGATTGTTAAATTGTTAGTGTGGGAACACTGACACGATCTCAACAGCCCGATAACTGCAGGACAGGCATCAGGTACTGAGTATCAGCCTCTGTACAACCGTTTTCTACCATGAAGGCCTGTGAATAGGGCAGGCTCTGGCAGGTAGTGAAACAATCGGAATGGTTCGTCTCGATGGCCTGCCCTGATGGAACCTGCGGAGGTAAGTGAATCAACCTCGATGGCCTTCACAGAAAAGGGGAAGTTTGACTGCATACCTACTCCAGCAAACCACGATCCTACGCTGTTTGTGGTGTTGATGGACGCGTTCCGAGAGAATCAGTCACTCGAGATATCGATCTTAGAGGAATCTGTACAGTATTAACCGAATGAAAGCAGTCTCAAAAACTCCAAGGCCGAAATACATGACGACATGTTTGTAGCCAATGTCTCTAAAATCCAGTAAACTATGACTCAGTCTCTAAACGGCCTGTCCTACTTAATGTGGAACTTGGGGTGTTTAAGGCCGTCATCTCGACAATACTCTTCTACGGCCTGGAGTCCTGAACATTCTGGTAATGCCGGCGGTACATATAAACTACTTCCATACCAACTGGCCATTGAAGAAAAGGGGACTGGATGATGCTGGAGGCAACATGGCAACTGTGGATTTTACGTAATTAGCTCCTGTAATCGACTGGTTGAACTCGAAACCAGCATCGGAGCAAGATGCCCGGTCTTTCGTCCTTTCCCATCACATGTCCCGTCATCTTGATTAATTTACTTGGTAGGACTGTATGCAAATGAGAATACAGAGTTAAGTCGGCGCTTCAACCGCGTACGAGTAAGATAAATAAGCGCGAATTTTTATCCGTTGTTTTTAATCTTATGGAAGTTAGGTGATACAATTGCCAGACGCCAGTGGTTCCTCTGGCCCCCTCACGTGTACGAATGTTTGACATGAAATATAATTTGGCCTTCAAAAAGTTCCGATAAGGCCGATAGTCTGGTTTCGCGCTCAGTACGCATACTTCGCATAACTGCCTACTCATTTCGTAGCAGTAGGCATTCTCAGAGTAACTAAAGTTGCATCCTCCCCAAATTAGTATTGGTACCTTGTGAAGGAATTAAACTATAGTCTGGAAGTCCGGCTCCTCAGCAGCAGCCCCGATTTCTCCTTCCCGTCCGTCACATGTTCTAAGTCGTGACAGAGACTTCAAGTGGGTGCAATTACTAACAAGTCCTTCTTTCTCTTTTCTCATGCGTCTCACGATTTAGTTCTCTTACTCTTGCGGCTTCTCTCTTCAGTGAGAGAAGCCACAGGCTAAAGAGGTCATCACAACCCGTCTCTTAGCTTAAGGAAACAATTTTGTATTGTATTTAGATTCTTTTCTGGGACAGGACCTTCGCTGTGACAAGTGACGAGGTCTGTCACTGATCTGGAGAGAGTGAACACAGCTCACTTCGGCCGTACTGCTGTCTGCCTTGAATTCGACTGAATTCGCTGCACCAACAGCACTCGCCTTTCCCACACCCAATGTTGTGTGCGCCCTGTTGGCTGTGTCCACGAGCGCTGCACATACTCTCGCGCCCTAACTATAAACATTCAGGTTTTAAGGAAGGAAGGAAGGAAGGGATCTTGGGTCCCACATGAAACTGCCATAAAGACGACCGGTGTGGAATACGTAGTCAGCCCCTGTACGCAATCTTAATTCCGTTCGTCCTGTCTGAGTATTGACACTTACCAGTGCTGAATTTGGACCGGGAGTGTAAGGATGGCGTCGTTCAGTTATTTTTAAAAATTTGATGTTTCATGCGTACACCGCTACCGCCACCACCTAGGTAGCAGTACTCACCGTCCAGCATACTAGACTAACCCGCATGCATTGTTTTTCCCCCTATGAATGCATGCACTTAACGGTTGCCTCCCCTGTTTACCTCATCCAGTCCCCAAGACATGGGCCTTCTTGATCCCTCGACAACTGATGGCCGTGTTGTTTTCTTCTTGCCATGGCTTGGCGGTGTCGTTGCTGGCACAACAGATGAGCCCTGCGAGGTCACCGAATCACCCAAGCCAACCGAGAAAGAAGTTAATTTCATACTTTCCGAGATCAAACACTACTTATCACCTGACATAAAGGGTACGTGCACTTTCCTGTCCTTTCAAGAAGTCCTTTGAACAGTTTTTGGTAAGACCCGTCATTTAGATTTATGGTCTACTAACCTACGTGTCTTTCTTACCCCCTTTTTGATGACAGTTCGCCGTGGCGACGTTCTCTCCGTTTGGTCCGGTATCCGACCCCTTGTCTCCGATCCTAATTCTAAGGATACTCAGTCGATAGCACGGAATCACATTATCCACGTAGGTAGTAACAACCTGGTCACTATCGCTGGAGGCAAGTGGACTACCTACCGTTCAATGGCTGAGGAAACTGTGGACAAGTGTGTGGAGGTGAATTTTGCTGTTGAATTTGGCTTGCACGAGGTTCAGCCCAGACCACTTATTAAAAAGAGTTTACTGATATGTACTTGAAGGCTCCCATCATGGCTAAATTAAGGCTATGAATCGTCAAGTACTGGACTTATTAGAGCCTTCAGAGTGCTAGTCGTATCTTTTTGTTTTATCAGGGAACCCGGGGTTGAGCGTTGGGTATGCCTTACATTCTTTTCGGCTCTGACTGACTAATAATAGAAAAGAAACTAAACATTTCATCTTTGATCATTCATTCCTTGTCTCTCTATATGACGCCTGTGAGACCAACCTTCCAAGGCAAATTGTAGTCAAGATATTTTGATAAACATCGCCCCCACATGACTGTATGGTAACCGGAAGCTCGGTGTACAGTGGGTCGACGATCAATAAGTCATGTTCGAACGCGAGCTTCCAAATAATCAAACCATCGCTTTTCTCTCTGATAACAACGTTAAACCTTACTGTGTTTAACGGAATACCGATGAATCGGACTGACCCTGCAATGGCGGCAAGATAATAGGAGATTTGAACACAAAATTCCAAGTTATCGTGTGATTGCACATAATTTTTCCTTTTCTTCTGTGTCCTGACGTTTTACTCGTGGCTCCATTATTATGATCACCATCAGCATCCTCGTCATCATACCATTAATTACATCGTCTTGAGATCGAAAAATTCGGACCTGAGTTAAATGTTACACTTACTGAACGATGCCACTGATATTATTTCACCGACAACACAGACCATTTCACGAAGCTTTTCGGCCTATTTGGGCCTCATCAAGTGAAAGTAGGTCAACTCTAGTGTAGCAGCGA